GTCCCCTCCCTCGGGAGCCGAGTGGGACTGTCTGCGTCCCTCTCTCCACCCCAGGCAAATCCGGCTCCAAGATTCAGACCACCCCCAGCAAACCCGGCGGGGACCGCTATATCCCCCATCGCAGTGCGACCCAGATGGAGGTGGCCAGCTTCCTCCTGAGTAAGGAGAACAACCATTCGGAAAACAGCCAGACGCCCACCAAGAAGGTATGCGCCCCCGAGGGACTTGGGGCCAGGGGCCCGTCTGTGCACTTCGCCCCACGCCATCCCGCCTCACCCACCACCACCCTTCTGTGCCAGGAACATCAGAAAGCCTGGGCTTTGAACCTGAACGGTTTTGACGTGGAGGAAGCCAAGATCCTTCGGCTCAGCGGGAAACCACAAAAAGTTCCAGAGGGTAAGACCTCTGAGGTTCACGGTGTTTGGAGGGAGATGTCTGCTCTTCCCACCTAAGACTGAGGCGGGGCAGGGAGGCTTATGGGGCCTTCCAGGGGAGGTTTCGGGTCTCCAGGGTCGAGTCTCCCTCCACTGGGACAGGTTACGAGAACAGACTGAAAGTCCTCTACAGCCAGAAGGCCACGCCCGGCTCTAGCAAGAGGACCTGCCGCTACATCCCTTCCCTGCCGGACCGGATCCTGGATGCCCCTGAAATCCGCAACGACTATTGTAAGTGCGGCCTGCGCCTTGCTGGGTGGGTGGGAAAAGAGGGCCTGGGCACCAGGCAGACACGGCAGCGTGTGTCCTTGCCTTTGCCCCTCTGGCAGACCTGAACCTGGTGGATTGGAGCTCGGGGAATGTGCTGGCCGTGGCATTGGACAACAGTGTGTACTTGTGGAGCGCCAGCACTGGCGACATCCTGCAGCTGCTGCAGATGGAGCAGCCTGGAGACTATGTTTCTTCTGTGTCCTGGATCAAGGAGGGCAACTACCTGGCTGTGGGCACCAGCAGTGCGGAGGTTCAGGTAAGGCTTGTCCCTGGGCTGCAGCTCTGTTGTCCCCAGACCCCGGGAGCTTGCCCAGGAGGATGCTGTGCCAGGGCCCAGTCTCTGATGGTTGTGGTCCTCTCTCTCTAGCTATGGGATGTGCAGCAGCAGAAGCGGCTTCGGAACATGACCAGTCATTCTGCCCGAGTGGGCGCCCTGTGTTGGAATAGCTACATACTGTCCAGGTCAGTGGTTTTTGCTAGTCTGTTGCAAGATCAGGCTATGATTTTTTTGCCCTCCCCCAACTGTACACCCCTGAAGGGAAGCAGCTCTGCCCTACGGTGGCATTTGGCGCTGTCACAGGACCTGATTCCCATCTTCCTTCTTGCAGTGGCTCACGCTCCGGTCACATCCATCACCATGATGTTCGGGTAGCAGAACACCATGTGGCCACACTGAGTGGTCACAGCCAGGAAGTGTGTGGGCTGCGCTGGTCCCCAGATGGACGACATTTGGCCAGTGGTGGCAATGATAACTTGGTCAATGTGTGGCCTAGTGCTGCTTTAGAGGCGGGCTGGGTTCCCCTGCAGACATTCACCCAGCACCAAGGGGCTGTCAAGGTAAGAGGGGCTCAGCTGGGGCCTCTGCAGACCCTCACCCAGAACCTGGGGAATATTACAGGGAGATGGGATGCTGGGATTGGACTAGGTTAGTCTAGGACCCTCTATAACTCCCTGCTGACTCCACTTTTGTCCCATCTAGGCTGTAGCTTGGTGTCCCTGGCAGTCCAATATACTGGCAACTGGAGGGGGCACCAGTGATCGGCACATTCGCATCTGGAACGTCTGCTCTGGGGCCTGTCTGAATGCTGTGGATGCCCACTCCCAGGTAGTCTTTTACCTATTCTAGTCTCTCACTTCTAGGTACATTCTTACTCTTTACTTCTTCCTGGGCAACTATGTCCTCTTCAATGGCTTCGCTAAGTCTGTACCCTGATGATTTCCAAACTTCTAAATCAGCTCTCACTCAGGCGCTCCAGATCCATATTTCCAACACCCTGTGGCCCATCTCCTGTCCCAAGTCCTATAGGTGGCACCAGCCTAATAGGTTCCTAATTAAACTTGTTACTTCCCTTTGCCTCCCCAAAATGTGTCCCTATGCCTCCTCCTCTTATATTCTTTTTTTTAAAAAATATGTTTTATTGATTTTTTACAGAGAGGGAGAGGGATAGAGAGTTAGAAACATCAATGAGAGAGAAACATCGATCAGCTGCCTCTTGCACACCCCCTACTGGGGATGTGCCCACAACCAAGGTACATGCCCTTGACCGTAATCGAACCTGGGACCTTTCAGTCCGCAGGCCGACGCTCTATCCACTGAGTCAAACTGGTTAGGGCCTCTTATATTCTTTGAGAGGACAGAACCTACTTAGAAATCTGAAAAAACCTAGAATCTTTCATCCTCCTCACCTAGTCACCAAGATAGCAGTTTTACCTCAAAATGTCATTCACAAGTGTTTTCTCCCCTCAGTGCACTGGTCTCAGTATTCTTAGCTCCTCTAGTCTGTCCTCTACTGTGGTCTGGGTGGTATGTTACTGTCCTCCTTAAATCCTGCAATGGTTCCCCATCACCTACAGCATATAACCCAAATCCATTAGAATTTGATGACTTTGCTGGTGAGTCTCCCTGCAATGACTCCAGCTTCTCCTTCCATTCAACACCCATTCTGCCCACCTTCATTCTAGATTTGGGCTTTTGAGCCAGAGTTCAAATTCTGGCTCTGTCACCTACTAACTTAACTTGCTTGTGATCTTAGGCAACTTGCTGAACTTCCTTCTGCTCGATTCCTCATCTGTAAATGGATAACAGTTATAATTCTCAAAAGGCTTTTGTTAGGATCATCGCCACTCAAGTCTGAGTGACCTGGCAATGTTCCTAACTCTAGAATGGACTTACTTCTGATTTGAGTAGTCGGCTCTATGCTGTATCTACACCATCCCCTCTCCACAGGTGTGCTCCATCCTCTGGTCTTCCCACTACAAGGAACTTATCTCAGGTCATGGCTTTGCCCAGAACCAACTGGTTATTTGGAAGTACCCAACCATGGTCAAGGTGGCTGAGCTCAAAGGTATGTGCTAAATGACAGAAGCCAGACACAAGAGACTACATATTGTATGATTATTTATATGGACTATCCAGAAGAGGCAAATGCAGAAAGATAAAACAGACTAATGGTTACCAGGGGCTGGAGGGAAAGGGTAATGTGTGCCTTTCTTCATGGAGTGATGAAAATGGTCTGGAATTATAGTTGTGATGATTACACAACTTTGTGACTATACTAAAAAGCAATGAATTGTACAATTTAAAAGAATAAATTTTATGGCATGTAAATTATTATCTCAAAGCTGTTACAAAAAACAAAACCCAAAAAAGGTAGGTTGCCCTCAAAATTGGAGAGTTATAGTATGTCTACATTCATGTGCTGCTCTTACTTTTTCCTTTCTCATGCCCAGGTCACACAGCCCGGGTCCTGAGTTTGGCCATGAGTCCAGATGGGGCCACGGTGGCATCAGCAGCAGCAGATGAGACCCTACGCATGTGGCGCTGCTTTGAGTTGGACCCTGCACGGCGGCGGGAGCGGGAAAAGGCTAGTGCACCCAAAAGCAGCCTTATCCATCAAGGCATCCGTTGAGGACCAACTCATCACTTCAGTTTTTATGTTTGCTTTTTTTATTTTTCTAATAAAGTCATGTCTCTCTTCTCCTTGCATGACCTCTGTCTCTGGCTTTCTCAAGGGGCTCCTCTCCTGTGTTTGAGAGCTAGAAATGTCCATCCTGTGGGAGCCTTGACAGGGATAGCAGGCTTTGTACCCCACCTCCTCCACTTACATATACGTACACACACAGCCTCAGTAGTTTCCTCTGTCACTTTTAATGAAGACATGAGTGAGCAGCCTCCATAGGCTGTATTCCCAGGCCTCCCACCCACTCGGACGTATGGGTGGGAAGGAGGGAGCCTGGGTCCGTAGTGACAGATTATTGCTGACCTCTTCAGTGTGAGGAAAAAGGCCACAAGACCCTGGTGGGGGCCAGTCCTGAGTGCTTCTCTCCCAAGTTTAAGGCAGGGAGGGGGAAGTAAGCGTCCAGCCCTTTCAGCCCCCAGCTCGAGTGGCAGAGGGCAACGAGGCCACGTCCCTGGGGCTGGCTGGGACAAGTGGGTGAGGAACGGAAGCTGTGGTCCCTGTGTACCAGCTGTGGGGAGGGGAAGGCTTGTCCCCTGCTCAGTCCTGACCACATAATCCCTGGTCACAGGTGTAGTTGGGGAGGACAATGATGGATGCTGCCCAAGGTGCAGTCCTGAGGCACTTAGGTGGGCGCCTAGCAAGAGCATGGTTCTCAGTTGGCCTTGACTTTGGCAGTACCTGGAGCTCCATTTTGCTGAACTACACGGGGCAGCCGTTTGCCTTTGGTGTAAGAATGATACCAGAAATTGGAGAAGAGCACGAAGAAGATGGTGCCGTACATCCAGATGAGGTGGATGATGACTGGGTACTGGTAGTTACAGCTGGGCATGAAGTAGTACTGGGAGATGTGCAGCGAGACCAGGACAAACTGGATCTAGGATAGAGAAAGGCAAGGGTCAGAGGGAATACTGAGAGGGCTGGAGGGAAAGGGGGTAGAGAAAGACTGAACACTGAGTGGGGGATAGTGTCAAAGGTGAGAGAGGTTGGATAAAGGAAGGATCCAGACTAGTAGTATTGGGATGGTATAGACCAGGTCCAGGCCCCTCACCAGCTGGATGGCTGTCATGTGCTTTTTCCACCAAAGGTAGGGCTGAGCCACAGGGCCAAGGGCAGATAGTCCATAGTACAGGTACATGATGACATGCACAGAGGAGTTTATCATGGCATGGAAAGAGCCCATTCCTCCTGTGGATGGACAATGAACAGGGTCAGGAGAGTCGAGCCTCTAATCCCCAGTGCCTGCCCCTTTTTCCCCCAATGGCATTCACCACTCACCTGGGGCAATTCTCACTCCCCACCACCAGCTCCAGGGAAGCACTGAGTGATGGAAGACATGTAAGAAGGTCACCTGTCCATCTTTTTTCCGGAGAATAAAGATCACCTGAGCAGAGTAGGGAAAGGAGTTTCAGAGTCAGGGCCTCTCACTCCTTTCTCCCCCACTTCAAGTTCTCATTTCATATACTCTCACCGTGTCCATGAGTTCAATGAACTTGGAGAAGAGGAAGAGCCAGGCCACTCGAACCATCTGCAAGAAGTTAGGGCAGCCTTAGGACCCCGCCCCTCACTACTAACTAGAGCCTCCCTAAACTGGCCCATGAACACACGTCACACCCAAATCGCTCCTATCCCCAGGTTGTTTACCATGTAGGCACCCCCCACCCCCCAACTCCCTCCTATTTACCCTCAGTGCCTCCGGGTTGTTGGAAAAGTCCACAGGGTCACAGCGCCAGGTGTAGCTACTCAGCCAGCCAGACATCAGGAACTAGAAATGGGATGTGGATCAGACCACCAGAATGCCCTCCCTCCCCCCATTCCCTCCCGTTTTCTAGTTGAAGAGATGGATCTGAGCCTTTCTGGAAAGGAGATGCATGCTCTGGCTCTAAGGCCTGCCCCTTACCCTGCCAGCAGAAATTAAAGCCTAGGCATCCCAGGGTCCCACCTCATAGACAATGTAGAGGGAGAGTGCCACCAGTGAGAAGTTGTAGACAACCATGAAACCACGCAGTTGGAAGGGCTTCCGATTGGCCATGATTCGAGGCCCAAGTGAGAGAACGAAGTACACATAAGTCAGGAGAATGGAGGTCATTAGCAAGGGGGACCCCATCAAAGGGTAGCCCTGTATCCGGGGATCTGCAAATAAGGATCAAAGGAGTCAGGAAGGGACAAAGGAGTCAGGAAGTGCACAGGGTTCAAAGGGTCCCAATCAGGTGTACAGATATGAGGTCAGGTCACAAAGGGTCAAAGGGGTTGGGAGGGCTTTCCATTAGGTGACAGCCCTAGACCCAGAGATCTCAGGACAGGAGGGAGGTAGGGCAGGTGGACAGCATCTTACCCCCATGCTTCATCATGCTCTGGTACACGTTCACAAGAGCTTCCATCCTAGTTAACGACTCTGGGGAGGTATGGAAGGCGGGTGTCAGCCAGGGCTGTGTTCTCCCATCTTACCCCTGACCCACAGACAGGACAGAGACCAGACAACTCCCGATACTCATTGCAAAAGGACATAACAGAGAGAGGAAGGAATTGCTGGGGACTAGGGGTAGGAGGAGACAGTCTGGCGGGGGCATCTGCTTCCCACACATCCTGCCTGCCTGGGAAGGGCTGTTCCACCCTTCCTCTCCACACCTTCCTCTCTTCTCTTCACTCTCTGCTCTTCTCTGGTGGTTTTTACTTCATGACCTCCCCTCCCCTCTTACTCCACAAGAAAACTCTCAATTTTTATCTCTTTCTAGAAAGTCTTACCTCTCACTTACAGAAAATTCATCTCCCGAATGAACTGCCTCTCCCTTCCTCACCAAAGTCTCTGGCCTCTCCAGCTCTGGGTCGTTCTTCTCTCCAGGGATCCTCCCCTTCAACCTCTCCTGGCCCATTTCGGGATGCCCTTCTCCTGGGATTGTCCTTTCCAGGACTCTCCTCTCCCGAGGGTCCCTCCTTTGCCCTGCCGGGACTCTCACTTCCCAGCCCTTCCTGCCCATCCTGTCCCTTCTTGGTTGGTCCCTCCTGTCCCTTCCGGGACTCTCACCTCCCAATCCCGCCTGCCCCTTCCTCCTCTCCCCTGCTGAGACATTCCCAGGCTCTTCTGGGCCCTCCAGAGCTCTCACCTCCAGCCTCTCGGCTCCTCTCCGGTGCTCTCCTCTTGCCCTTCCTCTCTGGGAGCCTGGCTCTTTGAGACTCCTGCCCTGGCAGCTCCACCTGTCTGACTAGATCTGGCGGCAGCCCCGCCCTCCACCCACCCCCGCTGCACTGCACATGGGGTGGAGGGTGGGTCCAGGCCACAGGTCAGTGCCTGGAGGAGCAGGACCCACGAGGATTGAGAAAGCCAAGTAAAGCTGGGACTCACCGTCTACCCACCCTCTCTAGATCAGTCAGATGGTCTAAGGTTTTAGGTTTTGAATCACAAACCTGCTGAGGCTCCAGTCCCAGCCCAAACCTTGGAGCAAAGAGAACTGCAGAAAACCCACACCCAGCATCTGCTAAACTAGCCATAAATTCTCAGTTTGTCCTACTTTAAATGGGTACTATCACCCTTCTCTCCCAGGGAGGGGCAGGGAAGCCAGTGGCATGTGAGGAGGTGGGGACGTGGGGGAGGTCTCAGGAATCTTCCCCTCCCTCAGGGAGGAGTCTAATGATCTAGGCCCTCTCCCCCTCAGGACCTCAAGGAATGACGGAGGAGGGCTCACTGGGACACAAAAGCCAGACCCAGGGGAGCCTGGGGCTCTGAAGAAGTCCCAGAGGGATAATGCAGTCCCTGAACAGCCGGGCAGCAGATGCTCTGAGAGCAACCTGCGCAGGTACTGAGTGAAGAACACACCTGACACATCCACCCCTCACACACACATACTGGGCACACATCCCACAGATGCTCCCCCAACCTCCATGTCAACCCCCAACTGCCCCACCATCGTCAGGCCCAAGTCCTTCCATACACACATGGTCTCACACACAGCTCTCCCCTCACCCACCCAATGACCATATCACCAAGGGCTAGCACACATATGCACACATGGAGCCTACACAACTCCTGCCGGCAACAGCTGCCCTCCTCTGACACACCACCCAAACAAGCCTCCGTGGACGCTGACATGCATAGTTTCTAATACTCAGACCTGCTCCAAAAATACATTCACTCTAGTGAACACACCCTAAACACTCACACATCCTCCTAGGTCCTGCATTACCATGTGCAAATGCTTAGGCTCACACATACATGAGTCACAGATAAATGTGGTCACATACATAAGCTCATACAGCCCACTTAGCAGGGAATGCATATAAAATCACCCATACCACATGCTGACACACACCTGTCCTCGGTCAAGCATACAGATCTCTTTTCACAGATGACAATCATTCATTCATTCATTCATTCACAATCATATTTTTGCTGTTTGCCTATTCTGTGGGAGGGCCTACCAGGAGAGGGTAACATGTGCTCTAACACACAGTTCCTTCCTGACCCATGAGTTTGCCAGCTTGTTATCTCTCTCAACCACCACACTCGCATGCACCCTGGAGGTCAGGAGTGGCTCAAGGTTCTGGAAAGGACCTCTCTCCAAGCTAGAGAGGAATCTGGGTGTGTCCCCGCAGGGGAACTCGGTCCTTCCTTTTAAGATGGATGGAAGGGAAAAGGAAACAGGCAGAGGAAGGGGGAGGGGAAAAGAGGAGGGAAGAGAAGGGAGGAGGGAGGGAGGGGACAAGAGGGAAGAGGGATAAGACCTAGAGGTGGTGGAGGAAGGCCTAGGTTTGAGTAAATGGGGTCCACGCACGGGAGGGCGGTTGCTGGAGAGGCCCAGCCCCAGAGAGCTGGGACCTCCCACTCACTCTCCCCAGGAACAGCCTCGCCCACAGCCAGGGCAGGGCAGGGCAGGGCTGGGCCG